TTCCTCAACCCACCCAGCAACTCCAATATGCCCACTAAATTTGGAAATTCAGATTTGTTCTATATTTGACTTGATTTGGCCACTCAAACAGTACCCCATGGATTCCAATGCTTGAGAAGGGAGAAATAGACAGGAAGGACCCTGTGTAAAACCTCTGAGGACAGGTCTATCAGCCTTTATTTTGTTCTGGCTGCAGTCTAGTCCCAGTTACACACACACACACACACACACACACACACCCGCTTTAATTCTTAGGAAATTTATGCTACTCATGACACAGGTTAATAAAATCAATTTTCCTTACCTACAATTTGAAACTCCAGATGTTATCACTGTTAACGATACTTCATTGACTTGAAGGAAATAATCTAATATTTATCTTAAACCAAATAATTCAGTACTGTATTGTTTATGAGCCTATGAGCAAATCAATGGTATACTCAGAGGGTTGATTGAGGATAGTTGAGTAAAGGGATTATTAACAGAGAATGTAAATACAGTAAAGAAAATCAGCAAGGGATGTTGAAGCACCAGGCGTTAGATACACAGCAAGCCTTGACAAGCCTGGTGTCTGATGGGGCATTGGGAGGGAGCAGTCGTAACACACCTGGCAGTAGCTAGACCATAGGAAATAGACCACGATCATAGCTGTGACCTTTGGTATAGAAAGGAGATAAAGATAATCAATGCCAAAACCACAATCAGGCAGTGGGGAAATGGGGGAGGGGTTATCACAATGTCACTCCTCCTGTCTCTTCATCTCCTTTCATTGTCTCAGTTGCAAATCCAACTGTAAATCAAATGGCAAGAGGGTACAAGTAATGAAGACCATGAAGGTCAGCCTCCCAGGTCACAGTGTAGGACAGTGAAGAACACACTCAATCTGGAGGGAAAAACAGAGAAACCATCACCAGCATCTAGTATTTGACCTGACCTGTTAAGGATTTTACATTTGCTGACTAATTTAATCCTTACACAAAATATATAAGAGGTATACAAATTGCATGAGAAGGGTGACCATAGGGCACAAAAGAATAAACTAAATTTTCATATCCATATAACTAACAAGAGCCAGATAAATTTCAAGTGCAGAGATCCTAGTTCCAGAGGCTATGTCCTTAGCTACTGTGATATTCTGCCTTTGACATCAGAAAGACTTTGTATTAGGCTTAAATTAAATACAACTATTGAGATTGCAAATGTTATTGGATTGGTAACTTAGGAAGATTTTTCTAAATGGCATCTGTCACATAAGAATAAATTTTTAATCAGCCATCACCAAAGCCACAGAGATGTCTTAGAAATGGAGGAAAAGCAAGAAAGAGAATAAAATCAGACCCTACAAATTGGTCTCACTGTTAAATTATTTGTTTCCATATTTGGCCTACTCATCTCTACTTGTTTGTTGCCAGGTGGGCTAAGTGTATTACTACAAAGCAATTTTTAAGATTAAATTTTTTTCCCTTTTAACTTTCTAAGTGTACATGTGTGGATAGCCAAAAATGATTAATTAAATCACTGAATTTTTTTCATGGAAATTCACAAAACATTATTGGAAACATCACTGAATTATAAACGTCTTCCTAATAATTGAATACTTACAAAATGGAAAGAAGTTGGCAAAAAGAGAATACAAAGGCAGGCTTGAGAAGCTATACTGTAAGAAGTACAAGATATCTGAAAAACATAAGCTGGCATCTAGAGAGCTCAGTAATTAATAATTCCTATTTGTTTCATTGGATTTTACTTCAAACAGATACATGGCATCTCTAATAAAACATGAATTCACTCACAAATTCACATAAGAAATATTTATTGTATCTCCATGTAGGTACTTGGGGTACATACAAAATAGACAAAGTTCTGATTTTGGGGAGTCCATTCTAGCAGGACATCTTTTAAAGCTATCAGAATATTTTTGAAAACATGCAGTCATTGTTGTACGTTAAATATATAGCACAGTATCCCTTTGCCTAAAAGTATCATAAAAGTAATTTTGTATAAATATATATACACTACAATTGGAAATTTATGGTAGAACTGTGGTGGTAATTGTTTTGTATTTTATAAATTCAAAACATACAGTTTTTCATATTTTAATATTCCTGAAATCAGGATGCACCTTTCAGTTGATGTCTCCTTGCTATTATAGTTGGCAGTATTTTGTTTGTTTTTATTAGTGGTAGGTAAAATGATTGTGTGTCTTATAATTGAAAACATTTTAGATTAAATAATGTATGGATGGTATTTTCACAAAATTAATTAAGTTAATGGATATTCCTGGAAAGTTAAATTCAATAAAACTGGGCAAGAAGCCATCATAAAAAAGACAGACTACTTAAAAGAATATATCCAGAAGAAAAGAAATAACAGTAGGAAATGAAAGC